GGGGGGGGCACTCCAGAAGGGCAGACAGGGCGAATGGAAAAGGGCTCAACTCGTGACGTGAGCAAAAGTTGAGCAAGGGATGAGAGAGAGAGGAAGAGGAAGCGAGGGCTTTTGTGAGGGAACACGAAGACTTCTATTGCAGAGGGAGCTTGGCAGCTAACGAGGCAAGAGGAGAAGAGTATGGCGGAAGGAATGACAAGGGGCAGGCTCTGCGGCAAGGATTAGGATTAGCGCGCACGTTTGAAGCTGCCAAGCGTCGGTCGGGTTGAATAAGCAACGCCCTTTTCACACCCATCCTCGACTGACTCGTGCAGGTAGGCAGCACGGAGAGACACAGATATGATAGATGTATTTGCGTCTAGCTAAGACGAGCGTACTGCGCATAAAGGTCAAGACGGAGAACAAAGCGGCGTCTCTATCCACGCTCATTCATCAGACTCCTCCGAGTCTTCCATCTTGGCTCGCTTCCATCTCCTCGGGTTGGATGGTGCCGCACGAGCACCAGTGGAACTCTTGTCCAAGAATTCTTTGACCATGAATCGATCCACAGTCTGCGATGGACCGGGAGCAGAGGTCAAGAGGCGGCCATGTAGATCATCAGTCTACCATACGCGCTCTGGCGGGTGTTCACGAGGGGAGACTTACGTGGATGTAGTAGTTGCCACCTCCATCTGCCCAACTGACGTAGCCGCTGCCATAACTTCTTTGCTCCACGCTCAGAATGGCTAAAGGACTATCCAGCGTCCTCTCTGTCAATCTGAAATCGGGAGGTACAAAAGGTTTGAGGGAGACGACCTTGGCGCCGTCTTTGAGGTCCAAAAAAAGTAGAGACAACGAGTCATTAGTGCGGGCTGTGAAAGCGTAGCTAGAGATTGTGAAAAGTCGAGTGCAAGTCAGCATTACATCCAGGTGATGCGTAATCAAAGACAGATCCTCACTTGTTGACTAGCACGACGTCAGCTTTGGTGAGCCATTGTCTCGTCGCATCATCCGAGGTAAAGTCGCCCTTCCAGCTTTGTACATCTCCCATGCTTACAGCCCACATTTTGCACCTTTTCTTGGCCTCTTTGACCTGTTCAGACCCCAACTCGCAAGCATTGCTCATCATCTCCACACCATAAGAGGATGCGCCTGTCTGAAGAGACACTTGGAGGACCAGATTGGAAACACCAGATCCGAGATCCACAAAGACCGAGTTGGATCCTAGTCTTGTGAGTTGTGCGACTTCAGACATGAAACGTGGGAGCAGCTCGCCGTAGCTGTACACGAATGAAAGGCTATTTAGATCACATGCGAAAGGCACAAGGAATCTCGCAGTCAACATCTGTCACTTACACATTATCGCTGAATGCCTCGTACTTGGCAAGCTGTTCTACCTTTGGACCAACCGTTCGCGCATACGACTGCTCGCTGATAGTCTCCCAAACTGGAGTTGGCAGCCCCTCTTCGCTCCACTCCTTCTCGATCCTCTCTGTGATGAGGCCCTCTTGGCGAGCTTTGGACACAGCTTCGTTGAATTTCGCTAGCGTCGAGACGAACAATGGACCGTCTCTTCGGTTGCGAGCTTTTGTAAGGCTGCGCAAAATGGAATCTCCTGACGCGTGAGAACTGAATCCAATTTGAGCGCAAGTGCTCGGAGTTCCCGGCGCTCTTGGTGTCGCGTAACCGTCTGTCGTGAGGGGTGTGGTTGAGCCATTGTCCGAAGGAATGGGACCCGGTGCGCTCGACTTTGTTCC